TCAGCAGGAGGACTTGGCTGCCCAAAATGTCAATAGCTGATGGAAGGCAGATGGTACTGTAGAGAGGACATGGCTGTGGGATGAGGTGGCACTCTGTTTCTCCAGTTAATTCTAGCACCCTCTGTTTATTGACATCCCCCGCTCCTGTGGTTTTGCCTCCGTGTTCTTCCTGTAACTAACTTCCCCTAGATATCTGACTTCTCAACTTCTGCCTGCTTGGACCAGGGATAAGTATAGTATTTTAATCACCTACTTGGTGTTGGATGTGTGATATACTGTGACTGTTAAAAGGAGAATTTGCTCTGAATTTCTCCATTGCCAGCTAAACCAGTAAGACTTAGGACGTTTCTCAATTTTAGGTTGTAGTCCCCAAATTTCTGAACTGTGCTACTGAATCTTGACAGAGGGATTATTTTGTAGATATTTAATTCCCACAAAGGGATGTGAGCCCAGACTGATGATAATTTACTTTATTTTGCAGGAAGGATGCCAGCGCTGCGCTGCTCAGTAACTATGAGGTAAATAGCTTTGGATTATTGTGTTTTCCTCTCTGATCGTTTGCCCTTTGCTTCTGAAGATTATTCAGTTAGTTTTGGTTAGAAATGACTGAATTCATTTAGATTTGCCACTTTAAAATAGGAGAGATGGCACCATCTGGTGGACCTTGGAATAGTCTTAGCTTAGTAAATTATATACAGTAATTCAGGGAAGCTGGGAAGCCTTTAGTTTACTGTAGGCAACCTTCTCCAAATCCCAAAGATTTTAGATCTTCATTTGGGATGCCTTCCTGTGATGGAAGCATCAGTTTTGGAACTGTTTCTGTTTGCAGAAGTTTTCCATTAAAATGCTTAACGCCTTTTCCTAATTACCACTCTTTAGCTGTAAAATGCTTTTATAAGTTATTATTTTGATCCTCATAATAGTCTCATAAGTATTAACACCTTCGTTTCGGAAGTGAGAGTTTAGTGACTCACCATTACGAATAATTTAGTAGGAAGTAACAGGTTTGGAATTTGGGGGCTTGAGGATTGGGTTGTTGGGGAAAGAAAGGAAAGAAGTTGGTGAGAGAGAGGAGAGAACATTATTTTTGCCTACCTTCTATTTTGCCTGGGTGTTGTTTGGTACTAGCAAAACTATCTGATAGGTTGACTCCAGGTATAGAAAAAACCATTCATATATTCACTGTCCATTTTTCTTATGCCAGAATCTAAACTCAGGAAGACTTATAGGAGATTTGAGTCTCCATTTTGTGATATATGTAGAAGGTAGTAGATTTAACACAGTGGGCCATATTCTTTTCTTCCTAAAGGTTCATCTTAAATGGTTGCTGCTCATAATAGGAAGGAAATGGTTGTTGGTCAAGCCGTTGGCTTTTTTTTTTTTTTCTTGCGGTACGCGGGCCTCTCACTGTTGTGGCCCCTCCCACCGTGGAGCGCAGGCTCCGGACGCGCAGGCTCAGCGGCCATGGCTCACGGGCCCAGCCGCTCCGCAGCATGTGGGACTTTCCCGGACCGGGGCACGAACCCGTGTCCCCTGCATTGGCAGGCGGACTCTCAACCACTGCGCCACCAGGGAAGCCCCAAGCCGTTGGCTTTTAGGAGCCTCCTTCTGCAGCTTAGACTCTGGACAAGGTGTGTAGTGTTTTATCCATTGGGGAAACATTGCATTAATTGGGTCTCATGCCCCTATTTCTGAAAGGAATGACAGGCAGGGGAGTGGTTGTGTTTTATCTAGTCGTTACTGTGTTTATGATCCTATGCTTCTCTCAGTTCTCTGGTATAATCTCTAAAACAGGAGAGAGATTTCCTCCCCTGACCCTTCTTAGCACTAATACACATGTGTTTCTACCTTGTGGAGAAAATTTACTTCTAAAGTTATATAGCCTTTTATCTTTCTTTCTTTCTTTCTTTTTTTGTAAACTACTTTTATCGCTTGCTTCATAATTTTTCTTTTCCAGAAATAAAATAGATTTTCATGTTAGAGAAGCAAGATCTTTTTTAAAAATAATTAATTAATTAATTAATTAATTAATTTTTGCCTGCGTTGGGTCTTCATCGCTGCACACAGGCTTTCTCAAGTTGCGGTAAGCGGGGTCTACTCTTTGTTGCAGTGCGTGGGCTTCTTACTGCAGTGGCTTCTCTTGTTGTGGAGCACAGGCTCTAGGCACTCAGGTTTCAGTAGTTATGGCACACAGGCTCAGTAGTACTGGCTCGCAGGCTCTAGAGTGCAGGCTCAGTAGTTGTGATGCACGGGCTTAGTTGCTCTGCGACATGTGGGATCTTCCCGGACCAGGACTTGAACCTGTGTCCCCTGCATTGGCAGGCAGATTCTTAACCACTGCTCCACCAGGGAAGAATATATATATATATATATATATATATATATTTATTTATTTATTTATTTATTTATTTATTTATTTATTTATTTATTTTAGGAAAATATTTTAAAATTCAGGCACAGTCAGCATACATTATATTAGTTTCAAGTATACATAATGTTTCGATATTTGTATATATTGCAAAATGATTACCACAATAAGTCTACTTAACATCACTCACCATACATAGTTACATAATTCTTTTCTTCTTGTGTTGAGAACTTTTTAAGATTTACTCTTTTAGCAACTTTCAAATATGCAAAACAGTATTATTAACTGGCGTTGCCATGCTGTACATTATATCCCCATGACTTAGTTTATAACTGGAAGTTTGTAACTTCTGACCACCTTCATCCAGTTTGCTTACTCCCCCTGCTGTCTCTGGCAACCATTTGTTCTCTGTATCTATGAGCTTGGTTTCTGGTTTTGTTTTTGTTTTAATTTTTGGCCATGCTGCGTGGCATGCGGGAACTTAGTTCCCTGAGTGGGGATTGAACCCACGCCCCCTACAGTGGAAGCATGGAGTCTTAACCACTGGACTGCCAGGGAAGTCCCTTTTTTTTCCCCTTTTCTTTTTTAGATTCCACGTATAAGTGATACCATACAGTATTTGTCTTTCTCTGACTTCTTTCACTTAGCATAATGCCCTCAAGTTCCATTCATGTTGTCACAGATGGCAAGATTTCATTCTTTTTTATGGCTGAATAATATTCCTTTGTATATATTTGCCACAATTTCTTTATCCATTAATCTGTAAATGGACACTTTAGTTTATTTCCTTACCTTGACTATTGTAAATAATGCTGCAGTGAACATGGGGGTGCATATATCCTTTCAAATTACTGTTTTTGTTTTCTTTGGATAGTTACCCAGAAGTGGAGTGGCTGAATCATATGGTAGTTCTTTTTTCAATTTTTTGATGATCCTTCATACTGTTTTCCATAGTGGCTGCACCAATTAACATTCCCACCTATAGTACACAATGGTTTCCTTTTCTCCACATCCTCCTCAATATTTATTTCTTGACTTTTTAATAATAGCCATTCTAACAGGTGTGAGGTGGTAATCTCATTGTGGTTTTGATTTGCATTTCCCTGATGATTAGTGATGTTGAGCATCTTTTCATGTACCTGTTGGCCATCTGTATGTATTCTTTGGAAAAATGCCCATTTTTAAATTAGATTGTTTGTTTGTTTTGCTCTGGAGTTGTATGAATTTATATATTTTGGATATTAACCCCTTATCAGCTATATGATTTGCAGATATTTTCTCCCATTCAGTAGGTTGCATTTTGTTGATGATTTTCTTTGCTGCACAGCAGACTTTTAGTTTGATGTAGTCCCACTTGTTTATTTTTGCCTTTGTTGTCTTAGCTTTTGGTGCTAAATCCAAAAAGTCATTGCCAAGACCAATGTCTTTTTCCTTTCCCATCTGGGTGGCTAAATTTTATTCCTTTTCTTGCCTAATTGCCCTGCCTATGTTTTCTTCTAGGAGTTTTATGGTTTCAGGTCTTACATCATCAAGTCTTTAATCCATTTTGAGTTAATTTTTGTATATGGTGTATATAGTGGTCTAGTTTCATTCTTTTGCATGTGGCTGTCCAGTTTTCCCAACGCCATTTATTGAGGAGACTATCCTTTCTCATTGTGTATTCTTGGCTCCTTTATCATAAATTAATTGACCATATATGTGTGGATTTATATCTGGGCTCTCTATTCTGTTCCATTTATCTCTGCATCTGTTTTAGGCCAATACCATACTGTTTTGATTACTATAGCTTTGTAATGTAGTTTGAAACCAGAGAGTGTGATGCCTCCAACTTTGTTCTTCTTTCTCAAGATTGCTTTGACTATTCTGGATCTTTTGTGATTCCATACAAATTTTGGGATTGTTCTATTTCTGTGAAATATGCAGTTGGAATTTTGATGAGAGTTGCATTGAACCTGTAGTTTGCTTTGGGTAGTATGGACATTTTAGCAATATTAATTCTTCCAATGCATGAACATTTATGTGTGTCTTCTTCAGTTTCTTTCATCAGTGTCTTATAGTTTCCACTGTACAGGTCTTTTGCCTCCTTGGTTAAATTTATTCCTAATTTTATCTTTTTCGTTGCAATTATAATAAATAGGATTGTTTTCTTAATTTCTCTTTTAATAGTTTGTTATTAGTGTATAGAAACATAACAGATTCCTGTATGTTGATTTTGTATCCTGCAACTTTACTGAATTCATTTATTCTAACAGTTTTTTGGTGGAGTCTTCAGGGATTTCTATAAGTAATACCATGTCATCTGCAAATAGTGACAGTTTTACTTTTTCCTTTCCCATTTGGATGGCTAAATTTTATTTCTTTTCTTGCCTAATTGCCCTGGCTAGGACTTCCAGTACTGTGTTGAGTAAAAGAGGCAAGAGTGGGCACCATTGTCTTATTCCTGATCTTAGAGAAGCTTTTAGCTTTTCACTGTGGAGTATGATGTTAGCTCTGGGCTTATCATTTATGGCCTTTATTATGTTGAGGTATGTTTCCTCTATACCCACTTTGTTTAGAGTTTTGATCATAGATGTTGAATTTTGTCAAATGCTTTTTCTGCATCTATTGAGATGATCATATTATAGGAAAATTTACTTTCAGATACTCAGAATATTATTTTTGAGAGCCGAGGAGATCAGTTATATGGTGTGTATTGGTAGGAAACACTTGAAATAGTTTATGTAAACAAATGAATTTGCAGTATTTGACTTAGATAAAAGAGCATTTTTATTTTATTTTTTAAAATTTATTTTAATTAATTAATTAATTTATTTGGGCTGCGTTGGGTCTTTGTTGCTGTGTGCGGGCTTTCTCTAGTTGTGGTGAGTGGGAGCTACTCTTCATTGCGGTGCACTGGCTTCTTATTGTGTTGGCTTCTCTTGTTGTGGAGCACGGACTCTAGGCACATGGGCTTCAGTAGGTGTGGCACGTGGGCTCAGTAGTTGTGGCTCGTGGGCTCTAGAGCACAGGCTCAGTAGTTGTGGCGCACAGGCTTAGTTGCTCCATTGCATGTGGGATCTTCCTGGACCAGGGCTCGAACCTGTGTCCCCTGAATTGGCAGGCAGATTCTTAACCACTGTGCCACCTGGGAAGCCCAAAAGCATTTTTAAAAAGTCACATGCTTCTCAGACTTACTTGCTCTAATGCAAGAGTTTGGGGGAGGGTTTATGAGAAGAAAAGAGATATTATTCTCTTTACCCTTTAAAATCATTGACTTTGGAATAGATACATTTCTCAAATTTATTTATGGAAATCTTTTGTATATCTCTTCCTAGGTGTTCCAGTTACTAACTGATATGAAAGAGCAGCGTAAAGAAAGTGGAAAGAATAAACACAGTTCTGGGCAACAGAACTTGAATACTATCACGTATGAAGTAAGCCTAGGTTTTTGGAAGGTCTACCCAAACTACCATTGAAGGGGGTTGGTTATCTTGCTGATGACTGGCCATTGAATCATGACTACCTATTATCTGATTTGAGTAGGTTTACTGTAACCCAGTTTTTATCCTGTTTGTAGAAGTGGAAAGAGTTTGGCCAATTGCGAGTGTTAACCAATTGCAAAGTCAGAGGAGGGAATAATTAAAAGTCTGCCATCACTTCTAATACCAATTGCAAGTCGGGGAGCCCCACGACCACCCTCAGGTTCAATAATTCACTGGAAGTACTCATGGAACTTGCTAAAAGCTATTATGTTCACCGGTACAGGTTATTACAAGGAAAAGATACAGATTAAATTTGGCCAAAGGAAGAAGCAAATGGGGCAGGTGCCAGGAGAAATACCAAATGCAGAGCTTCCACTGTTCTCTAATGTGGAGTCAGAGCACATTTCTCTTGAAATCAGTGTGTGTTAATACACACAGAATATTGCCAGCCAAGGAAGCTCGGCCAAGCTTTGGTGTCCAGAGTTTTTATTGGGGCTCCATTACCTAGGCATGATTGAATGATTGATTGCCTGTGTCGTTCATGTTAGCCTCCAGGTCTACTGGTCTACATGACCCAAAGCCCTTACTCTAAGTCTCATTGTTAAGACCATCCAGTAGGACATAAGGCCCCCAGACAAAGATACTCCTATTAGATATAATGTTTCAGGAGTATGGAGATTACCTCCCAAAAGCTGAGGTCAAAGTCCAGACTCTCTGTTTTAGCGAAGCCAAATTCTTTATTACAGAGAAAGTGATACTTTTTATGGTAGAAAACTTAGAAAGTACAAAAAAGCATAAAGAAGAAATCAAAAGTAATTCATAATCTTAATATCTAGTTGATAGTTTGTTGCATTCTCTCCCAATCTTATGCTTACACTGTCGTATTTGTTATATGATGTTTGATTTTTATATCTGTCATTTTGTTTTTTCTTGTTATTTGCTTTCAGTTTTGATTTTGTCTTTAAAGAGGTTTGGATTTAACTCTTCTAATTTATCTTTTCAAAGACATTTTTAAACTTGCATTAAGGTGTCATAATCTCTTTTAAGGAAAATAAGGAATTTAACACTTCCGTCACCATTCCTTCCCATCTGGTTTTTTTCATTTAATTGAGTGTTTGGAACCCTACAGTTCATTTATTCATTCGTGTTCTTTCACATTATATAGTTCATCTCTTTCAAAGAAGAAAAAAAAAGATTGTTGGTAATTAGTTTTATACACATTTCAAACTATCAAGCACCCTTAACTACACAGTTAATTAGTTTATTAACTAATATCACTTTAATTAATATATTAATTAATATCACTCTTAATTTTTAAAAATTTAATTAATTTATTTTTGGCTGCATCGGGTCTTTGTTGCTGCACGTGGGCTTTCTCTAGTTGCAACTAGCGGGGGCTACTCTTCGTTGTGGTGCACGGGCCTCTCATTGCGGTGGCTTCTCCTGTTGTGGAGCATGGTCTCTAGGCACGTGAGCTTCAGTAGTTGTGGAGCACAGGCTCTAGAGCACAGGCTCAGTAGTTGTGGACCATGGGCTTAGTTGCTCCGTGGCACGTGGGATCTTCCCTGACCAGGGATGGAACCCATGTACCCTGCACTGGCAGGCAGATTCTTAACTACTGCACCACCAGGGAAGTCCCCACTCTATTAATTCTTAAGTTCTTGCTTTTAATTTTTGGTGCTTTAAGGAAAGTTACTTTGGTAATAAATGTGCCCTTCTCATTTCATTATACAGAGTACATGGTATCAGTGTCTTATTACTGATGCCATTAACTTTGATAACTTGGTTAAGGTGGTGTCTGCCTGGTTTCTCCACTGTAAAGTTACTGTTTTTCCATTTCCATATTCTGTTAATTAGCAAAGCGTCACCTAGTCCAGCCCACATACAAGAGGAAGGGGAATAGGCTTCATCTCTTAAGGGAGGGATATTAAAGAATTTGAGGACACACATTAAAACTACCACAGTAATAAATAAATATTTTGGGGAAGCTGCTTTGAGACTATGCAAATATCCTACTTCTTAAGCTTTTGCCCATTAATTTTAGTATTCATTGGTGGATCCTTCCTGCAATAATTATTCCTATGGTGCGATTGCCCAATGGTGATTTATTTCCCTCATTCTTTCTATGTTTAATTGTTAGAATTCTTTGTAAGAAAGAGTTGTTCCTTCTAATCCATTTATTGGGTCGTTTATATATGGACTTAAGGCTATTTATTTTATTTTTCGGGTTCCCTGTCTATAAAAAATTGATACATGATAACACAGTTGTCAGACTGAGTTTTTTCTTTAAGATCAGAAAAGCTTTATTCTAAAATTTCAGTAATCTTTTTGTTCTAGCTACTGGTTTTATTTTTGAGGAATTCCTATTATATGAAGATTGAGTCTCCTGAAGGCATTTGTTTTACAGAAGATTTTTGAAGCAAAATTTTAGAATACTTAATTATAGCCATTGGCTTCTCTTTTTGTCATTTGGGGTTGTTTGTCTTATGCTTGCCTTTCCTGTTTTTTTTTTTTTTTTTTTTTGTAGACATTAAAATACATATCAAAAACACCATGCAGGCACCAGAGTCCTGAGATTGTGAGAGAATTTCTCACAGCAGTGAAAAGCCACAAGTTAACCAAGTAAGTAAAAATAATCTTAAGTGGGAAAAGACTGACACATAATGAAAATGATAGCTTATAAAAGTCATCCTCAGCAACTGTGTATTTATATTAGGTTGTGTTTTGAATTGTAATCAGTACACAGGGCGTAGGGTCATGGTATTGTATAAATTTATTTATTGATTTATTGATTGATTGATTGCTGCTTTGGGTCTTTGTTGCTGTGTGCGGGCTTCTCATTGTGGTGGCTTCTCTTGTTGTGGAGCACTGGCTCTAGGCTCGCGGGCTCTAGAGCACAGGCTCCGTAGTTGTGGTGCACGGGCTTAGCTGCTCCGCGGCATGTGGGATATTCCTGGATCAGGGATTGAACCTGTGTCCCCTGCATTGGCAGGCAGATTCTCACTGAGCCACCAGGGAAGTCCCAGGGTCATGGTACTGTAGATGAGACAACTGAGACTTAGACACTGGGATCCTTCTAGAGCCAGAAACAGAATGTAGTGGGCTTTTTAATCTCAAAAATGTTTCCCAAAAATCTTCCCATAACCCCTTCCCAGCATTCAGACTAAATTGGTTGAAAAATGGGATTCACAAATTGAAGTGCTTTTTATAAAGTTGATGAATTAAGTCATTTGACATTTGTGTGTGTTTGGGGCAAAAATGGCTTGATAATATTCTGTCTGCTCTTCTAGTGCCCATTTACTTTCTTGGTGACTTTTTTGAATAAGTTAAGTTTGTAGGAATTAAAAACATTAAGAATTAGATCAAAAGTTTCCATGAGAAGAAAACTAGCCCTAGTCTTTTAGAATTGATACTAGAGCTGATAAATCCAAAAAGCTTTTGTCATTCATTGAGAATAATCAATAATTTTCTTTTGGAGGAAACATTTGGTGTTAGTTCAGGCGCACAGTTGATACACTATCAGTAAACTAAGTACCCTTCTCCCCTTGCCTCTCTTCTCTAAATGAACTCTGAAGACAAACATCTTTCAGGTGTGCATATGTGTGCTTGTGTGTATGTTTACAGTTTGTTTTATTTTTGTGAGAAAATACACATAACATAAAATTTACCATCTTAACCATTTTTTTAAAAAATTATTTTTTTGGCTGCGTTGGGTCTTTGTTGTGGTGCGCGGGCTTTTCATTGCAGTGGCTTCTCTTGTTGCGGAGCACAGGCTCTAGGCGCACGGACTTCAGTAGTTGTGGCACATGGGCTCAGTAGTTGTGGCTTGCAGGCTCTAGAGCACAGGCTTAGTAGTTGTGGTGCATGGGCTCAGTTGCTCTGTGGCATGTGGGATCTTCCTGGACCAGGGCTCGAACCTGTGTCTCCTGCATTGGCAGGCGGATTCTTAACCACTGCGCCACCAGGGAAGCCCTACCATCTTAACCACTTTTTTTTTTTTTTCCATCTTAACCACTTTTAAGCCTACAGTTCATCTATATTAAGTATAGTGTTCACATTGTGTATAGCCAATACCCAGAATTTTTTTTTTTAATTTATTTGGTTGTGCTGGGTCTTTGTTGCAGCAGGTGGGCTCCTTAGTTGCTGCTCGCGGGCTCCTTGGTTGCAGCGTACCGGCTCCTTAGTTGTGGCTCACAGGCTCCTTAGTTGCAGCATGCGAACTCTTAGTTGCGGCACGCATGTGGGATCTAGTTCCGTGACCAGGGATTGAACCTGGGCCCCCTGCAATGGGAGAGTGGAGTCTTCACCACTGCGCCACCAGGGAAGTCCCCAGAACTTTTAAAATCTTACAAAACAATCTGTATACCAATTAAACAACTCCCCATTTCCTGCTCTCCTCAGCCCCTGACACCACCACTCTGTTTTCTGTTTCTGTGGATTTGACTATTCTGTATACCTCATGTAATTAGAATCATATAATATTTGTCTTAAAAAAAAAGTATGAATATTATTTAATATTGTTATCTTTTTATTTTAACCATTTTTAAGTGTGTAATTCAGTGGCATTAGATATATTTAATTGTTGTACATCTCTGCCATCCATCCACAGGACAGTTTTTCATCATGCAAAACTAAAACTCTATACCCATTAAACAATGACTCCCCATATTCCGCATCCTCTAGCCCTGGTAACCACCAATTTGCTTTATGTCTCATGAATTTGGCTACTTTAAGTACCTCACATGAGAATCATACAGTACTTTTTCTTTTGTGACTGGCTTATTTCATTTATTATGTCTTCAAGGTTCATTGATGTTATAGTATGTGTCAGATTTTCCTTCCTTTTGAAGTCTGCATAGTATTACATTTTATGTATATATGACATTTTGTTTATTCATTTATCAACTGATGTATACCTGGGTTGTTTCCACCTTTCAGCTGTTGCACATAATTATGCTGCTATGAACATGAATGTACAAATATCTCTTTGAGACCCAGCATTCAGTTCTTTTGAGTATATACCCAGAAGCCAAGTTTGCTGGATCTTATGATAATTCTATTTTTAAATTTTTGAGGAACTGCCATACTGTTTTCCATAGTGTCTGCTCCATTTTACATTCCCACAAACAGTGCACAAGGGTTCTAATTTCTCCACATCCTTGTCAACACTTCTTATTTTATCTTCTCCCTTTTGTTACAGTTGTCATATTTATTACATCTATATATGTTGAAAATAGTGTTTAGCAGTGTTTTATTACTTATGTTCTATACTTCTACATATTTTAAGGAACATAAGAGGACAAAAATAGTCTTTTATATTTACCCAGAATTTTGCTATTTCTTTTGCTCTTCATTCATTCCTGTTCCATGTTTACTTTTTATCATTCAGCCTGAAGAACTTCCTCTATCGTTCTTTTAGAACAGGCCTGCTGGCTACAGTTTTCTTTCAAATGAGAATGTTATTATTTTCTTTCATTCCTGAAGGATAGTTTCACAGGGTTGAATGATCTTTTCTTTCAGCACATTAAAGATGTTAGTTCAGTGTCTTCTGATTGCCATGGTTTCTGACGAGAAATCTGTGGTCATGCCAATATGTAATGTATTGTTTTCCTCTGACTGTTTTCAATATTTTATGTTTGGTCTTTGAAGATTTGATTATGATTTTTTTTTTTTTAGTTTATCTTTGCTGAGCTTCTTGACTATGTAAATTTTTGTGTCTTACCCAATTTGTGAAGTTTTGGGTCATTGTTTCTTTAAATATTTTTTTCTGCCCCAGTGTCTTCTTCCTTTCTTTTCAGAACTCCAAAGACACAACTGTTAGAACTCTGATAATTGTTCTACAGTCCCCAAGCCTCTGTTTTTTATGTTGTTGTTTAAAGACAAGGAAACTTTTTAATTGAAGTATGGTTGATTTACAATGTTGTGTTAGTTTCAGGTGTACAGTATAGTGATTCAGTTACACACACACATATATATATATATATATATATATATATTCTTTTTCAGAATTATTTTCCATTATAGGTTATTACAGGATATTGAATATAGTTTCCTGTGCTATATAGTGGGTCCTTGTTGTTTATCTATTTTATATATACTAGTGTGTCTGTTAATCCTAAATCCCTAATTTATCCCTCCACACCTTTCCCCTCCTTTCCCCTTTGGTAACCATAAGTTTGTCTTCTATGTCTGTGAGTCTTTTTCTGTTTTGTAAAAAAAAAAAGTTCATTTGTATTTTTTTTTTTTAGATTCCACATATAAGTGATATCATATGATATTTGTCTTTCTCTGTCTACTTCACTTAGTATGATAATCTATTGGTCCATCTGTGTTGCTGCAAATGGTATTATTTCATTCTTTTTTATGGCTGAGTAGTATTCTGTTGTTACACACACACACACACACACACACACACATCATCTTTAACCATTCATCTCTTGATGGACACTTAGTCCCTTCTGGGACTCCCAAACTGTATATGTTGGTCCACTTCTTGGTGCTCCACAGACCTCTTAGACTTTGTCCACTTTTCTTTAATCTTTTTTTCTGTTCAAGTTCATCGATTCTTTGTTCTGCCTGTTCATATTTGCCTTCAAATCCCTTTAGTGTTTTTCATTTCAGTCATTGTACTTTCCAGCTCTGGAATTTCTGTTTTGTTTGTTTGTTTGTTTGTGTCTCTTATTGATATTTCCATTTTGTTTATACATTGTTTTCTTTATTTTCTCCACATCTTCCTTTAATTCTAGGAGCATCTTTTTTTTTAATTAAAAAAAATTAATGAGCTAATTAATTTTTGGCTGCGTTGGGTCTGTTGCTGTGTGCGGCTTTCTTTAGTTGTGAGCGGGGGCTACTCTTTGTTGTGGTACACTGGCTTCTAATTGCATTGGCTTCTCTTGTTGTGGAGCACAGGCTTTAGGCACACAGGCTTCAGTAATTGTGGCTTGTGGGCTCTAGATCACAGGCTCAGTAGTTGTGGTGCACTGGCTTAGTTGCTCTGCGGCATGTGGGATCTTCCTGGACTAGGGCTCAAACCTGTGTCCCCTGCCTTGGCAGGCGGATTCTTAATCACTGCGCCACCAGGGAAGCCCCTCATTCTTGGAGCCTCTTTAAGACAGTTGTTTTAAAGCCTTTGTCTAGTAGACCGGCCATCAGGTTTTTTTCAGGGACATTTTCTATTTATATTTTTCCTTTGAATGGGCCATACTTAACTGTTTCTTTGTTTACCTTGTGATTTCTTGTTGAAAACTGGACATTTGATCTAATAATGTAACTCTGGAAATCAGATTTTCTTCCTTCCCCTAGGCTTGCTGATTTTTGTTTATTGTTTGCTATTTTTGTCTTGTAGGCTGTCTCTGTGCTACGGATCAGCTTGAGGTGTAAACCCAAGGTCTTCTCAGGTCTTTTCTGAGTGTGCCCCTTTCCCTAGGCATGCACAGTCACTCTGATTTTTCCCATATATGCAGTTATTTTTGAATGTTCCAGCCTTTAGTGTCTGAACTTTAGGGAGAAAAAAAAAAAAAAGAAGGGTTGGGGGAAAAAAGGACACCAGCCCTTTAAATTCTAAAAGTCACTTCAGCTGGAGGCGGGGGTGCAACAACAATAGCTGCTGCCCCTTTACTTGC